ATAAATTAATAAAACAGAACAGGAATAATAATATATAAAAATAATACAGAACAAAAAAATATATAAAATAAAATAACATAGACAAGTTTCATTATTATTACAAACAACAATTATCTTTAAAATCAATAATATGAATCTCTAATTATTCTCACATATCATAGAAAGACTAGAATTTGTAGGCAAAGTATTCATCCAAACACTACAAGCCTTTTCCCACTAACATATCTTTGACAGATCTACGGAATTGTTTCAAATCATTGATCATAGTTGTACATTCTGGTAAATTATTGTAAATCTTTTTACTCCTATAAATTAAGGATTGTCTCGTTAAAGATGAACTAGGCAGAGGAAGAGCAAGGTTCCTTTTATTACGCGTAATCTTGTCTATGTTTGCGTGCATGAAATTTCTTCTATATTTGTGAAGCAAACATACTGTTTCTAAAACGAAAATTTCAAAGACCGTCAATATCTCATAGTTCCGAAACCTGTGCGGCAAATAGTTTCCGAGATACAGCCGGCGTCCTTTCTTAGTGGTACACCCGGTAGCGATTTTACTAAATATAAACTATTGCAGCACAAGACACGCCCCCTACTACGGCATTGCAAAATATAATCGAGCCCAGCACAATCCTGCAAAATCTAATCTTTGACAGCACAACGTAGCTGATTAATATGAATAAATCGATTGAAAAAGTAGCACATACCACGTTATATCTCATCTTCAAAGTACTTTACTTAGGCAGAACTCAGAGACTATTTATCCTCAACGAACTAACCTATCCCTGATTGCAATATTTTTGAGGAAGGAAAACCGAATGGAGTGTAGAAACACATTGATTAATAATATATTTCAAAAGTTGAGTTCTTCAACAAAATTGAATAAAATGAGACTGTTTATCCTAAACGCACTAACCTATTTGACTTCAAATACTTTATGAAAAAGGAAAACCAGAATGAAGTAAAAAAACATTGGTGAAAAAAAAAAGATGCAAAAAAAAGTTCACAGCGATTCGAACCATAAACCTTCAGACTGAGAGTCGACAGCGCTAACCAGTAGACCATTTGGGTGTATGAATTTACTGCGTACAAGAGATTGACAACGAGAAAGCTTCAGTTCTTGAGATATGACGTATTATGGTGGGCGTGGTTTGTGCTAGCGTGCAGTATATTTAGGAAAATCGCCACCCGGTACGTTTGTTTTGAGCCTCGTTTATCTAAACCACTAATAAGACTAGTTTTTCGTTCAATAAACTGTAGCTGTAATACGAATTATTGTTGTTATTTCTCGGCCTCCCAAGCGAGTTTAGCTCCGTGTCACCACCCTGTAGCCATTGGTCGTGACATTATGGTGGAGCCCCGGAAATACATTGGGAATCCGAATTCTCCATCTGATGAAAATATGAATTCTATTTCGGTAAAACAACATAAAACTACTTTCCTGGCTATATGTCACGACGACCATTAAGTTCACTTCAAAACACAGTCAATTACTTTTTCCTCCAACACAGTCGTTGCCACAAATGTACCAGTAAAACTGTTAGGTATCACCCTAGACAGCAAACTTAGGTGGGCTGAACACATTGACATACTGTGTAAAAAGTTGCCAAGTCAAACCTTCATCCTCAAGCGGTTGAGGAATACTGTTGATGAGAAAGTTCTGAAAATGTCATTCTTCTCACTGTTCCACTCACATCTGAGTTATGGCGTCATTTCATGGGGTAACTCTACCTACGCAAACCGTGCCTTCATTCAACAAAAGCAAGCAGTTAGGGTAATTGCCAAGGCAGCTTACAAAGATTCATGTAAACCCTTATTCAGGGCATTGGAAATATTGACACTTCCTGCACTTTATGTGTATTATTGTTTGGTTGAAATACATGATCATGTTCACAGCTATAGCAGACATAAAGATCTACACAGCTACTCCACCAGAAATAACTCCCAGCCCATCAATCCTAGATTTCGTCTCAATATTTCATCAAAGAACTCAATCAATTTGAATTTATATAACAAAGTACCAGAATCTTTCAAAGAGCTCAGCTCCTCAAAATTTAAATTAGCTATCAAACAGCTCCTACTGAAACACAGTTTTTACTTGGTGGATGAATTTCTGTCCTGTGATTTAACAAGAATAACACCATGACATATATATCAAAATACACCTATCTTAGGTACCTACTACTTCTAAAAATATTTTTTTCTGCGACGGGAAAAAAGTTTGGCATTTCATCTCTGTTGGCAGGTTATAAGATGTCACTTTTCATAAATTACTTTTTTCCCGTGGGAAAAAAGTGAGTACTTCATTCCCGGATATATATCACATATATATACTCTGATAATGGCTTTTGTTGTGCTATAGTTCCGAAAAATGAGTCAATAATACCGTCTCCGAGAAAGAACTGCAAGTCCTTTTATCTTCCATTCGACTTCGCGGTTTCGTATATTACTATAAACAACTACTGAATTCGCAATATTTTTAAATCAAATCACAGAATTGAACTGACAGAAGTGACATCAGATATTTGATTACTTCAAAAGAATGATAAAGATGCCTATAAAACGCAGGTGTCCCTACTGTTAAAAACTTGAAATTTCACGTCGATAATTTTCAGATTTCGAAATAATGTAATATCCTCTCAATATTGATTCGTCCTTCCTTCTGTCACAGAAAAAAATAGTGTATTATACACGGAAAAAATATTAGATTTTAGCTCACGGTTTTTTGTCTCCCTCCGCTACGCGTCGGGAGACAACACAACCTGAAGCTAAAATCTACTACTTTTTTCCCTTGTATAATAAATAACTATTAAACCATAAATCGGTGTTGTGTAACTATATAAATACTTGTTGCTTTCATTTGTTATGTTCACATATCCTCTATTTTTAGTATTTTTTATAACAAGATATTTATATCTACGGACATATTCCAAACTATTTGACGTGTGTAATGAATGAAATTTTCAAAGACACCAATAAATTCTATACTATTCTATTCTATTCATAGAATGAAACAGGGTCCGGACGATTTAATAGGGACATTATTGCTATTCTCTAAACATTAAGAGATAGAAAGTTGATTGAATCAGAAAGAAAGTTGCGTAACTTGAACTTGAACCTTTTAAATATGACGTTTTGCAATTTGAAAGAATGTCAACCGTTCCTGAAATCTTTTGGAAAAGATGAAGATCTCTGATTGAGTTTTTATTTATTTTCTTGGTGGATATCAAAGGAAACAATTTGAAAATTTGTGTGAGTCAATAATTGATCATGGCAAAGAAGATTGTTATGAATGAATATAATACATATAATATCTCCATTATTCTCAGAGATTAACCACCCAACTTTTGTTCTCCCATGGGCGCCATATTTGTTTTTATACCATTGAATAGAACTGAAAATTCCCTTCCCAGCCGTGACATTTTCACGAAAAAATGCGCCAAAATATAGTGGAAGCATTTTCAAATGTGGTAGGCCATGATAAAAAGAAGAGAAAATATCAGTCGTCAATACTACAAAGTATCAATACTTCTTCATAGCTATGTATAAAACGCTACAACGCTACATTATTATGCAAAAAAAATGCTCGAGGAAAGAGTACAGAAATATAAAGAACAAATTTCGAGATAAGTTTTTGTTATCAAATTCAATGTTTGAATATACCTACTTAAGCGAATTTATTAACGAATCCATGAGATATTGATGACGAATCGATATGATAATTGATAAATAGTCAATTCTATCTTAATGATATAACCAAATTGAAACTTATGTCAAGACTAAGTCTAACACTAAATGAAAACCTTCAATAATAGTTATATGTTTTTTTTCATGTTCTGGTTCCCACGAAAATGGATATCCTGTAATGTTCAGAGAACATCGTGAGAGCCGAGGGAAATGAGGTAGGAATTGATGTTCTCCTCAAATTTCTGGAGGTTATATGCCTCGGGGAACACCTCCCTTGACAATGTGTTCCAGAGCCTCGCTGTTCGTTGGATAAACGAGTCTTTGGAAAGAGATGTTTTGCAGGTCTCCAAAGTGACCACGAAAGGGTGCGAAGCCTCAACTCGACGACTTAATCTCGCGGGGAAGGAAGAAACAATTGTTGGTATTACAGAAGAGTTTCGTCCATGAAAATATCTACGGTGTTCCAGAGTAGAGAGTGAGTTTGTGGGCGAGGCATCACCCACGATACGAATTGTTCTTAGTTAGACAGAATCCAACAGCTTCAGGGTCTGTTTGGGTGCTGCACTCCAAATATGGGGACAGTAGTCCAGGACAGGTCACATCTGTGCCTTATAGTCTATTCACCGAAAACTTTGAACTATACTCGTTTTTTTTTTTGTAAATTTATCGTAATTTCGCATAATAATTTAGCATGTTATATTCATGGGTATGAAGAAGAATTGATTCTTTTAGTCATGACGACTGATATCTTCTATTTTTTATCATGGCCTACCACATTTAGAAAAGATTGTATTGTTTTTTTGGCGCTGTTTCATATGAAAAGGGATTTTTCAGCTCTATTCAATAAAAACAGCTATAGTGCCCATAAGAAAAACAAAAGATGCTAGGTGAGTATCTGAAAATATCGCAGATAGAATACTTTTCACAATCTCCTCTTGTTTGACACGATTGATTTTTGAATTACACAAAATTTCAAATTATTTCTAATATCAACCATGGAAAAGAATTCAAACGAAATCAACCATTTTCAGTTTTTGCACAATATTTCAGGAATGGTTTATATTTCTCTATATTGTAAAACGTTGTATTGAGTCGATAATATCGATATTTATCGATAATATCGAAAATATCGATAAATCGATAATATCGGTCCATTATGAATATCGATAATCGATATTTCAAAATCATTATCGTCCACCTCTAGTATTGAGAAGGTCCAAAATACACAACTTTTGTCTAGCCCAATCGAATTTTCAACTATGATCGTTCAGGAAATAGCAATACTATCCCTATGAAATCATCTGGACCCTGTGAACTCAGCAATACATGATAGATCCCGCCGTATAGGTGAATTCATCTTGAGAATGAGTCTGAAATAAAGAAATAAATCACAAATTCTGAGGGTTGATCCAAGATTTTGAAAAAAACCTCAAAATTTCGAGAAACACTCAGAATGTTGTGATCAAATCCTGGAAACTTGAGAAAAAAATCTCAAATTTCTTGAAAAAATCTCAGAATTTTGAGAAGAGATATACAAAGTTCGTCTGCCTCTCGGCTTTACCTTATTTTTATTCAGCGATATCGTGTGCAATTGCGGCATGTAGGGCAGTACCAGCGAATCTGTCAGTTGGTTGTTGTCCAAAATGAGCTCCTTCAATTCAAAGAACCCTTCCAGGCCCTTCAGGCTTGCCAAATCGTTGTAGCTGAGGTCTAGGCTTTGCGTTTTGGAGCCGTACAGCTTGATCAGGGCTTCGGGAATTTTCTGGCATTTCTGACCGCTGTAGCAGAGCTGAAAAAAAAAGTCGATCAATCAATAAGAGAATCTAATGACCTGTCAAAATATGCGCTAACTTGGCACACAATGAAATTATTTATGTGTGATAATAGTTATTTACGTGACTAGTGAAATATAGACATTATTAACACACGCATGTGATAATTGCACGACGAAACCATAGGCGTTGCGTACAAAATTTTATCTACAACTGTCAACGTTTTCATAACTATCTTTAAATGTACCTCATTGATATTCCACTTCGACGTACCTACTCATGACAGTTTTCTGATAATTGAAAACACAAGTTGCCTGTGATCATTTTTGTAACCGTAGCAACGGTAGGTATAAACAAAGCCGTTTATAGATGTTAAATTGAATTGTCAGATCGATATCCAGAACCATCATTGAGTTCCTTGAGTGAAAATGTCTTCAAGTGAAGATGATCTACCATCCGATATTGAAAATGCGGCGATATGTGTTATTTGAATTTTCTTTGTATTCATTCAATAAACGATTTATTTTGGTTGAAATTTATTTCTCATCTCATTACCGCACTAGTGCGGTAATAGATTGAAAAAAGCACTAGTGCGGTAATTAACGTCATTATGACATTCAAAAAAGTGTCAAATCATAATCATTACTTGACAGTTGCAGATACATCGTTTTTATACGCAAATTCCTGTTGGTATCAGGAGAACAAGTCATAAAATCGAAGAGAATCACAAACAGTTGATATCTAATTGTTCTAGTCAATCTAACTAGAGTGGATTGCCTAATTTAGCGTTCTTATAATTACTTATTGTTTATATATCAAACAAATATGAAGGAAATGAAACAATACAAAACTCAGGTGAATACACTACATTCTTTCACCACTAACCAAACCGATTTTTTCAACACCTCGACCCGTGTTTCGTTAACTATGTTAGCATCTTCAGAAGAAAATCAAAACTGAATATCCCATTCTAGTGTGCTGCCTATATACTAGGTATATGTTTACCCAAATACTAAAAAAATACTAAATACTAACCGTCAAGTTGATGTTATGTTAATATTAATTTTCATATTACTAAACTTTATAGAAGGCTATATGAATAGCTACCCAGCAAACATAGAAAGGCGGTAGAAAGCCGGGCCCATGGCGAGAACGGCGGGCAAATGTCGATGTCGGCATGTCTCGAAAGGCCCTCCATAAAATTTCGAAGGATTATCTGACGAAGGCAAAATGTACAAATACTTATGATAGGCCTCTGTTTCCCAGCCGCTAATCTTCTGCTGTATGTATCCAAGTCCAAGAGCCATCAAAATTTCAACGAAGTGTGCCATTATCACACAACGTTGGCATCCCTCGCTTGCGTGAGTTTTTATTTTGATCATTTTGCAGTGGTAACAATGATTCAGTATGGCGTATATTAATTTCTTTGTTTATGTTGTTTCAACACTCTCAACAGAGATTGAAACTTTTTGTTTGAGAAATTTTCGGTTTTTTGATCTTCTGGTGATGCTTTCTTCTACAAAAAAAAATATTCCGATGTGAAAATGAGGCCATATTTGATCACGGCTCTCGTGCGACCAGGTCAGGTGGTGGGCAACTATTTTTGTTTGAGGCCTTTTCCATAGGGAGGTAGAAAATAACTCATTTCATAAATGCTATTCGATAGGGTATATCCATTTCAGATATCACGGCCTGATAGAGGGAGCATGGTGTACAGCATTGAATAGATGTACTCCATTTTAGGTTCACCACATGGCATGTTTCTGAACTGGGAATTTGACTTTCAAAACTGTGAACTCGATGGATCACTAGTAATCGCACCTTTCACCGTCGATGTGCATTTGAAAATCTTGAACTGTATTCTGGACTTCACTGTTTGGAAATCACGTGGACACTTTTTTTATTGGTTGAGGCACCTGAGGAATCTTCGTTGCTTTGGAGCCTGAGTTACCGATACTCTTGAAGGACCCGACAGTCCGTTATATCTGGCAGAATCCTTGCTGCCAACAGTGCAAGTCCCCAGCAGCCCTATTGGTTCAGAGAGTCAGTGATCCTGATTTCTGACAGATAGTCCAGGGGAGTGAAGACCACTGGTGTGATAGATGATCCATCATCCCTAGGATTCTTGTTGCTTAGGAACCTGAACTCCCAGTGCCTAGTCGGAAAGTGAGACGTCCTGGTCCAGCTTGGATTGTGGAAGAACTTGCCCTGGTGGCAGCCTGTGGACCCGTCAGCCATCAGAGTTCCAGTGCAGCATCCAGTGGCTATGGGATAAATCGAGTGCCCAGGTCTCCAGGCGTTCATGACTTCATTCAACTGTATGTTTTCCCAGCACTCTCATCCATTTATATCTTTTTTTCACTATCTGAGGACATTGAACTCACTTTATTTTCCCCCTTTCTGAGGACAGTTCGATAATGATTTTTCACGGTCCCACGTCATCAAATATTTAAGTACTTGTCAACAACATCTTCCAGTATAATATTGGAATTTACATTTGATAGAATTATTGAGTCTCATAGATGAAGGAACCCAAAGTCATCTCCACAACATTTATTTGACGACCAGAGATCAATCACATAGGGGTACATGTTTCGAGCATCTATAAGCCCATTATCAGCCAATTCAAGATTTTACTTCTAAAAAAAACCAACAATGATTTAGGATTTAGATACAATGAGTACTTACTTACATAGAAATGAAAAAGTTGAAAATTTGATAATTTATACAATAAAATGTGGCAAGACACAGATGTATACACCATGATCTGGAAAACAATCAGACATTATCCATGTCAACCAGATCATGGAACAAAAGTCTGAAATCATGAAATAGGATATATACCATAATGTAACAACCACGAATCAAATAGCAACACTACATATTCAAGATTGATAAACCAACTTGGCGTCAATTCGCCGACCTGTAATGAAGAGTTAGGTGAGAAAATAATATTATTGGAAATTATTGACACGTTATTGAGAGGCTTTTGATGAATTGAAAAATTTGAGGCAGTCAAAGTGAGTTTGATTATTCAGAGAGGTGACATTACTATTATTTGAAGATGAATGAATCTCATAAATTCTCAAAAGATTCAATAAACGCCAGTTTCGACATTATTATCAATGTTAAAACTATGTTGTGAGTTGATAATATGGTTGGCAATGGAACTGCTGGTGTTATATTCGTCTAGGATCAGATTCTTAGCCGTTTCTATTATTTTGATATGTTCGTTGACTCTAGTTTGGATCCGTTTACCACTCTGACCAATGTACTGGGAATCACAATTTGGATGTGAACAAGTCAGAGTTCATATACACTTGGTTCATGTAGAGGAAACATTTTATTCTTATTATTGACGAACATACGTGAAATGAAATTGGTAGTGTGAAAGGACATATTGAGGTAATTACAAAATCTAAGGAAAATATTGCTGATATCTTGAGAAACTTTACCTACGTGAGGAATCGAAGCAAAACGTGTTCTTTGATTGTTAATTGGGAGTAAACTACGATTAGCAAATTTGTTCTGATGGCGACTGAAAGGGGTAACCATTATTAAGTGCTATTCGTCTAATGATATTCAATTCCGCATAGAAATTTCCAGGAGTGAGTGCGATATTATTGAGTCTGTTGATGATTTTGTGAACCCCAAAGTGAATGCCCATATGCAGGGTAATTTACCCCTTGTACTGAGACATAATCATAGTATACATTATTTATCACCAATCGAAACACCCATTGTTGGCACGTTGAGGTAAATAATAGTTAATTATGTATCAAGGGCGTGAAGTAGGCGTTTATAACCTGTGTGGCGTGAATAATGGCCCGATGGCGCTAGCCGAGGGCCATTACACGCTGAAGGCCATAAACGCATTTCACGCACGAGATACATACAAAATTTTATGCACTAGTGGTTTATTTTCTGCGAGATTTTCTGACTCATACGTAATGACTATAGATTTCGATAAACTAATATTCCCCAGAATGCAATTTGTTACGTATTAATTCAGTAATCAAGAGAAGCGTAATGTTCATGGATGATTCACATATATGAAAATTATCCTACGAATATTGCAATTATCGTGATAGTAAAACTCTTTCAGCTCTAGAAGAGATTCCTTCTTCAGAATTTCACAATATGCATACCCACTACCCAGTATATTAACTTATTTTGACGTTGTCAATCAATCTGATGGTTGTTGTCTATAGCTATACATCCAATAAACGAGCTGAATTGTCATTCTTTGACTAAAAAGTAAAATTGTGATAATAATGAAAGCGAGACTATGGAATCGGATAAAGAAGAAGTTTATGATATACCGCTGGATATATTAGAATCTGGGAATATGATCATAGGTTTTTCATGAATTGATACGTGGATATAATAAGGTGACTGAGAACAGCGGGCGGTAAAGTGCACTTTACGGCCCGCTAGTGCATAAATTTGTTAATAGTTATTTTGGCTTGTATTTATATATTTGATTTTCTTCTCAATAATTCGCTTCGAAAACTGAGTGGTCCTCGACAAAAAGACAACCTTACTTATGAATAAAAATAGCTAACTCACGACCTGCTCCAAAACAAGCGAGCTGCCATGCCCATAACAAATGAACATCTTGTTCTTCTTCCAAAAGATCAAGAGAATTGTTATAAGACTTATAACATTCACAGTTTCCTTTTATGTGGCCCAAGTGAAAAATTGCCCGGAAACCAATAATTTAGATTTTTTACTGTAAAACCCCATGTTGTCTCAAAGTGGAGTTAAATAGTTTATTTCTGACAGTGACATTATAAACTTATATCGTCATAGTTACGATATCTATAATGAGGGTCATAACTCCCTTGGGATATTAAGGTTCAAAAACTCCCTCTTACCTTTTACAGGTGAAAATGATACAAGAAATGCTTATAAACGTTAAAATGTGATGAAAACTGAGACACATTCTCCTTATTCACGTCATTACAAATAATAAATGTACAATTTTCAAATGTTCCCTGAAAATTACTTCCGCCGCTTGAAAAAAATGAACATGTAACATAGCGACAACCAAGCAACAACCAACAATGCTACAATCAACGCTACCTAATTCAAATATACCAGAAAGGTTATGAATTTAAACATTTATTGCGTTCTAAATATGGACATATTGTTATGAAAATCGGTCAGAAATAAAATTATCTATGTACACTCGTCTTCAGCGAACATGTCGCGGTTGGACGGTATATGCACTCTTATTGCAACGGTGATCAAGGGAGTTGACACCGTCCATGTGCGACATGATCTCTGAAGACGAGTGTACCACGGGAGGCCAGAGGCCCTCGGGACGCAAACTTTGCCATCGGTAATTAAGGCCCTCATAATTCCCTTAATACATAAATAACTATTATATATAGTAATAATATTCCAAGTCGTCTCCTCAACGTTTAATATCTTCAAATCATAAATGGAAAAGGAACATGTCTCGGATTTATAGAGTATCCATCATCAGCCGATTGAGAAATTATTGTGGAACAGAAAAAAATTGTTGGAATCACATGAAGCCATGAAATTATTGAATGAAAATTTAAAAACAGAGGGGATACTTTATTTTTGTTATAACAGGATTTCTAAACAGGGACCTTGTGCCCCGATAAGCCAGTGGAGGCCATTAGGAGGTCTTTCTAATAGGGCGATTCCACTGGCTTATCGGGTCACAGGGCCCCTCATTAGAAAACCTGTTATGACACAAAAACGTACGTTTTTTCTCTGTTTTTCAATTTCCATGAAATTATTTTGTCACTTCATGTGATTCAAAGATTTGTCTCTGCTCCACAACAATTTCTCAATCAAGTAATGATGGATACTCCATAGATCCGAAGTTCCATTTCCATTTATGATTTGATGATATTGAATGTTGTGGAGACGACTTGGAGTATTGTCACGACTAGAAAATACGGTGTATTAGTAATTTCGAGCGATATGAGGGTTTTATGAACATAAAGTTATTCAAAGCATACGTTGACATTGAACTATGAAAACTGACCAAGAAACTCTCATGAGAAACGTGCAAATCTAATATAATGATGTATATAAATATTGTTGGCAATATTAGTGGGATGCAGTCTGGACCAATGAATCAATTAAATTTCTTCGTTATTTGTCGTCGAGCTTTCGAAAATTTTTATTTTCTTTATCAAGACTAACTGAAAACATCGAATGGAACAATAATATTGAAATATGAATGTACATCAATTGAAATTGGTATACTTACAAACATGAAATTCTATATAAAATTAGCACAAAAAGGAAACATAGGTGTATAAATAAAATGAAATGATTTGACAAAAAA